TTTTATTCTAATGTATTGTGTGTTGTCTATTTTTTGTATTGTATGTCTTTTAAAATGGACCTTGAGTCTAATAATAAAAGTTGAAGATGATGATGATGATGATGATGATGATGATGATGACTTAATCTACTCAAATGTTGTTTTTTTCAGCTGCGAGCTTCTCGTCTTTCTCCGGAGGACCAAACATCTGCCCTCGCTGCAACAAGACGGTTTATTTCGGTACGTAAATTGCTGTCTTCATATCCGAGTGTGACTGTTGGAATGTGTGTTTCGAGGTGACTGGTTGTCACGGTAACTATCTCCACGGTTTGGTTTTGTCATGCAGCTGAGAAGGTGTCGTCTCTGGGGAAGAACTGGCACCGGCCCTGTCTGCGCTGCGAGCGCTGCAGTAAGACTCTGGCTCCTGGCAGCCACGCAGAGGTGACTTACACACAGTGTTTTACTTTTCTTTTCTTTTTTTTTACAATATTAAATAACGAGATCTGATGTTTGTGTTGCAGCATGATGGACAGCCGTACTGCCACAAACCGTGCTACGCTGTTCTGTTTGGACCTAAAGGTAAGAGGAAGGAAATCAGACTTTCAGCGACCCTTTCCTTTCTTCCTTCTATCTTGCAGCTCAGGGACAAAACGGGCCGGTGCTGCACGGATACAACAGGTTTTTGAAGTAACAGGAGCCATTTAGAATTACGTCATTTAGCGGCCCAGTTCCTTGCGGACTGTACTCGAGTACGCATGGATCTTGCCTGAGAACACCTCTTCAAGGAGCTCAAAAAAACTGCAGTTCCTCTGGTGTCCACTTGAGGCTTCAAAAGCAGAGAATCTCAATCAAGTCCCATATTTAAATGTTTATTTTGGCAGCAGTAATAAACATGTTTACAGATCTCAAGAGCTCATTTTTTAATACGTTTAAAACAGTACGGGAGTGAATTTTGTATGACACATTTATTTTGATCGTATTAAGGCTAAGATATTTGCATAATTAGGGGTGTGGCTTAGCGTACTGAATGTCTGTTCGGAGGCTAACGGCCTGCTTCAGCTCCACCTCTTTGCCCTTTCATAGATTGATCAAAAGTTAGGTGCAGCTACAGGAGCATCTTCAATAAGGTGACCGCCATCGTTTGGCTTCAGAAATCCACGGGTGACGTCACTGACACTACGTCCATGTTTTATACAGTCTATTGAACCGTATAAAGGAAGGAGCTGAAGGTGCTTTTCACAGAGAATGCAAACATCTGCACGGTTGTGTATGAATTGGTTGAATGGAGGAATGTTGTTCAGTCCAGTGTTGTGCTCTCCTCCAGGTGTAAACACTGGAGGTGTCGGCAGCTACATCTACGATGATCCTGAAGCCGAGGCGCAGCAGTGAACTCAGACGAAGCTCCGCCTCCGGGACCCTCGATGTCTCTCTGATTTGCCTTCCTCAGTCGCTCGATATGTACTGCACTCACAGGGATGGAAACCTAGATGTTCTGTTGTATTTGTATATTGTTTATATATCTATTTTTTGTACCAAAACAAACCTTAAACATGTCCTCTCGAGTGAGCTTTGGATTTGCCTTTAGGTACTTTTGGTTCTCTTTGCCAAATAATGATCAGCGTATTACGTAGTGAATTAACACGCCTGAGATTTTTTCACTTGTTATTAAAACTTTTTCAGACTTTTGTGCACTTAAAAAGATGTACTGTGTGTAAACCAAACGGCCCACCAGTTAACCGTCAGTGTTATTTAAACAGGTTTATCCTGCTTGTTAACGGGGGGAGGCGGTGTAGACGTAGATAATGTATACCTGTACCGCACACAAACGTGCATTTTACTGAATGTTTGACGCTGATTTTTAGTCTGTTGTGAATAAAAACTGCACATCAGATTTTCTAACGTAAAAACTTTGTGTTCATTGTCTCCGGGAAATAATAAGTTACAGCTTAGTTTAGCTTTCTTTTTCCTTTATTTTATCCGATGAAGATAAGATAATCCTTTATTTATCCCACAACGGGGAAATTTACACTGTTACAGCAGAAAAGAGCAAAGACTGCAAACAAAAAGTGAACACAGTACAATTTAAATTTAAACTTTTTTCATTTTTTTTACAAACGATAAAAATAAAAAGTAAATAAAATAAATAACTTTGACAACGGGTCGGAATTGCCAAAGGCCACATCTTCAAAAGTCTGAACAATCAAAGCGGGAAAACAATTCAGTGAAGAAGCAAGAAGCATTTAATATTTGCTATTATTCAATTAAAACTGAAAAAAACCAAAACGTTTTCTATTAAAGACAACGCTGTAGAAACTGCAAAGTATTTTAAAACAATATGTTTTCCATTTCTTAAATTAAAAGTCTTATGGTCTCTGATGTTCGTCGCTTTGGATAAAAAGTGTCTGCTAAATGAATTGTAGAATTGTAGGTCATAATGAAGACTGTTGTAGTGAGCAGACGCATTAAACTCAGTAATGCTGAGCCAGATTTGACCTTACAGTGACTCAAAAATCCTGCATGCCATCCCCCGCTCTCTCTCTCTCTATTTCCCAAATTTCTCACACTATCCACTGTCCTTTATCTCAATAAACGCATAAAAATCACCCTCACAAAAAACCTTAAAAAAATAAAACAAACGTGTGCTTTGAAGCTTCTTATGTATGAAGTCAGATTTTCGGCAAACAGAGTATTTATTATTAATTTTATTATTTTTTTCTGTCAAATTGTATGTTTTATATCTGCAGTATATCTGAAGCAAAGATGGTTCAGTCCAGTTTCCAATGACGTGACCTTTAAAATTATATATATATATATATATATATATATATATATATATATATATATATATATATATATATACTGATATATACTATAAAGTTACAACCTTGTTTAAAAGAATTATCATAAAATCTGCTGCTACTGCAAACTAAGTTGAACACATATTACCCTGCATCACAGCGTTAGTCCATTAAGCATCCATTATTTTGTGGCTTTATTCACTGTATAATACTTCCTGTAACAAAGATTAACAACTCAAGCCATCACAACACAAGTTCTCACCCTGACATCTACACTGGATGTTTCCACCGAGAGAGAACCGAGAGTTTTATTTGAGAAAACGAAACTGGAGTAAAGGTCAAGAGTTCAGTAAACAAACATTAGTTGGAGGCTGCACAGTTGTATTTTTTTCATGTTACTGTTGTGCTCAATATTTACAGTCTATGGTTGTTCCCCATCAGAGAAATGTGCAAACCAATAAGAAGGTAAAACGTCACAAACAGGACGACCTCGTGACCACGACCTCTTACAGGAAATACGGTCCCCGGAAGAGGAAATGTGTCAAGTTAACCAAATAATACAGGAAAAGGGGAGAGTTTTTCTACAAAATAAAATTAAACAACAACAATGATAACAACACATCTACATGCTGAGGAATGATGAAATGGTAAAAAAAAGCTCATAAACAAGTAAAAAAATATATAATTTAATTCTAAGCATCCATTTAATTGTATACATGTATCTTTTTACCCAACTACATGTATTCAAGCTCTATAGTTACTTTGCAATCTCAAAGAAAATATTCAAACTTACCAGCTTATCTAATATGAGGCATTTCATCAGAGAACAAAATTCAACACTAACATAGTTAACTATGAAGGCATTAGTTATAATGATCTAACATTATAATAATAATAATAATACATTTTATTTAAAGGCGCCTTTCAAAACTCTCAAGGTCACCTTACAGAGCAGAGATAAAAAACAACAAAGTAACAACACAAATTAACATAAAAAAAACACAAATGTACAGGATGTAAAGGAGTTATGAGAACGGGTGGAGAATGATCAGACTGAATATGCCAGTTTAAAAAGATGTGTTTTGAGATGAGATTTGAAAATGGAGAGAGTGTCGATATTACGGATTTGTGGTGGGAGGGAGTTCCAGAGGTGGGGGGCAGAGCGGCTGAAGGCCCTGGACCCCCATGGTGGACAGGCGGGCGGGTGGTGCAGTGAGTTGAATGGAAGAAGAAGACCTGAGAGTGCGAGTAGGTATGTTGATGTGCAGGAGTTCAGAGATGTAAAGCGGAGCGAGGTTGTGGATGGCCTTGAAGGTGAGAAGCAGAATTTTGAAGGTGATGCGATGTTTAACCGGGAGCCAATGAAGCTGCTGTAGGACAGGGTGATGTGATTACCAGAGGGCGTTCTGGTGATGATGCGAGCAGCAGAATTCTGGACCAGTTGAAGTTTGTGGATGGACTTGAGAGGGAGACCAAAGAGAAGGGAGTTGCAGTAGTCAATGCGGGATGTAACCAGGGTAACCATTATGATAATCATCTTGAAGTTTATGTTTTTAAATTACATTTTTCAAAACATCGAAGAGCTCAAACTTACTCCTCAGTGTTCCCACCACATTCATCTTATTTTGGCTTTAAGCAACATGGAGGGAGTCTCAACTCAAATTACAAGCATTTACAAGGACATGAAAATACTTCTTATGTTGAGTCAAGAATTTTAGTCCAGGTATAGAGTTGAAAAGGCTTTAAAAACAGAATTTAAACACAGTAAAGATTGAGGTATGTACAGTTGGCCGTGGAAAGCAAACAGACGACGGTCTGGAAGGTGTTCTTGGTCCTCCCGTCTCATCCTTTAAAACTTTCAGAGAGCTCCAACACGAAGAGCCAAATCGTGTTCACCGTCTCAGGTGAGTTCCTCAAAACGGAAAAAAACATCATTCAGTTTTCTGCCTCTTGTAAAAATTTCTCTCAGTGCTTGTAAAAGTGTTTTCTAAAGTATTCATTTGTTTAGTCCTTAGTAAAAGTGTTTTGATTTTGTAATTTTGTTTTAACAAAATGTAAAAATGTTTGACAAAATGTTTGGGCTCAACCTGATACTCAGCTCCTGTGGAAACCTTTTTTTTTTTTTTTTTTTTTAATTAAATTGTGCACATATGTATGTATCTGTCAAACTAAACCGTCTTATTCTGAAATACAGTGACCGGAAGTGGCGTATTTTAATCTAGCTAGCTTCATACGAACTACACTTCTGCTTTTACAAGCTCGCCGCCATCTCGGTAAAGAAAAGAGACTGCAGTCGCTATTTTGGCAACAGGAACAACCTAAACAAAACAAAAAACAATCTCTCGAGTCACTTGAACGACTACTAAACGTTTTATTTGATACGTTATTTGTGATATTTCAAACTGTGTTTCATCCTCTCACGACGACGACGACGAAGAAGAAGAAGAAGCTACATTAGCTAACTGTTAGCTTGTGACGTTGTTCGCTGAAGCGGGGATTTCACAGACTGTTTATGTTCTGTTCAGTCCGGACTCTGTTTATGTTCTGTTCAGTCCGGAGACATGTTGGACGGAACCTCAGCTCACGTCGATGACTCCAGCATCGGCGACGTGGAGAACAACAACCCGGTGTCGGTGGTTTCCGGCGGTGGCGATGGGCTGAACTCGGGGAACAAAACGAGGCCGGTGAAGAAAGGAGGCAGGAAGCCGCTGCAGCGTCACCAGAAGCCCCCGAGGAACAACAACAACAACAACACCCTCCTGTCCGACCACAACAACAACAACAACATCACCTCTCTGACCGCCTCAGCTGCTCAGCCCGGTACCGAGCTCCCTCCCGGTGCTCAGCCGGTACGGAGCCTCCATCACCTCAAACAGGGAAAGAAAGAGGTGACTGTCTGCTTCTTGTTGTTGTTGTTGTTGTTGTTGTTGTTGTTGTTTTTAACGCTGCAGAAATTTAACATAATAAAATAGAATTACTTTATTGATCCCAAACTGGGAAATTGAGGGTTAGGCAGGTTGTCAAAACACACAATATGAGTAAAAAACACAATATTAGCAAATTTAAACACAATATAATATTAAATACAAAGTAAATAAGTACTACAAATATAAAAAATATGAATGTGAATATATACAACCAGGATTTAACTTAGCATTACTAGTCTTAAATATGAAGATTAAATATAAAATATTAAATGTAAATGTGCAAAAACAGAGTCGTAACAGCAATAAGAAGGTAAAAGAAATAGAAACAAGTGGTTAAAGGATAAAAAAAAACTATAATATTAATACAAATAAAAATTAAATATTAATATAAAAAAATAAATTAAAACTACTCCAAAGTAATGTATTTGATCTTTGTACTGGCTTCACATGTAAACAGGAAGCAGCAATAACTGTAAGGTTTTTGAAAGCCCATAGATCTGTGACCTGTCTCTGCACAGTCAGGCCGATACCGGATCCATCAGTATCGAATCAAATATTGATATTAGTTTGTATAGGTCCAAATCTCTATCAAAAAGTACCACGATGGTTCTGGTTTCTGTTTTTCTGTTTTTTAGACCAATATTGGTAAATAAGTGTAATATTGGGCTGCGTTAAGTCGTCAGTATGACAGTAAATTGAAAACTCTTGGAGGGATAACACATAGTAGTCCGTCAAATTCACTCAATGTCCGCCATGTTACAGACCATAGAAATTGTCTATCAACAGAAAACTGAAGTTAGTACCTTTATAACCATATTTACTGTAATGTCCACATATTTTCAAGCTTTGAGGCCATTAACGATTCAAGACGGTGATGAAGTCTTTTAAAAACAAACTATTTAAACTCATATCTGAATGAAAGCGGTTTTAAATATGTTTTCTGTGCGGTGGTTAGAAGTGTGACGCAGTTAAGTTACCAAGCCTTGTCGTGTGAAAACGAAAGTAAACTTGTCGTCTTCCTCTTTCTGCTGGGAGGTTGACGGGGTTGGTTGCCGCAGGTTGCATACTTAGGAAGTGGTTGTAAAACAAGGAAGAGAAAGGTTCATAACAATCTTTAGAGGTTTTATATTGTAGAAGACCACAAAGAAATGATGTAAATCTGTAGTGTGTGATAACATCCTTAAATATTAAGAAATAAAACGGTGAATTGGGTCTTTAAAAGTGCACTATGCAGTTTAAGGGTACAACAAAAGTACAGATGAGGCGCAGCAAATTCAGCAAAATGTATGTGGCTGGGTGGCAAATAACAGGGGCCACCCGGCCTCAAAAACAGACATAATCTTGATTTTCATAAACCCGATTCATTGATATATTTTACATTTTTTTCTGGGATAATAAATTATGGAAGCAGATTAATCTAAAGACTGGTGTATGTGCGGATACACAAACACCCAATTTAGCCTATAACGCGTCTTTATGCTCAACATAATAAGGTTGATTGCAGAGATAATAACATTGGTCTTATAACTGACTTGATAACATTTGCTTTCTGTTTCTTAGCTGCTGAAATCCAAAGGGGGCAGATCGGAGCGAGGGGCCATGCAGCAAGGTGGCCAACCCACCCGCAACCTGCCCAGGCACGATCAGATCACCCAGAACGCGATCGCACGGGGACACAAGCCCAAGCAGGCCCAAAGCCCCGGTGCTCCTCACTCCGCAAAGAAGAAAGACAACACCACTCCGAATAAACCCTCATCTCTCCACCCGCCTCCGCTCAGAGAGCAGAAAAAACCCCTGCACGCCTCCAACAACGTGAAGATTGTGAACGAAGCGCCTGCCGAGGATGTGCCCGAATCCCTCAAAGACGGGGAGAAAGTCTACGCTGGAGCTAAGTTCAGTGAGCCGCCATCGCCGAGTGTCTTACCCAAACCGCCCAGCCACTGGGTCGGAGAAGACGAGCCTCAACAGAGCAACCAAAGCCGGGAGCAAATGACTGTTCACTTGAAGTCGCTGCTCAAGGTGCAGGATCAATCATGACCGACACCTGGAAATTTAAATAACGCCTGATGCAAACGATTGGAAAATATGCATCCAGGTAAATTGAGATTGGCTTTTAACACACTGCAATATAATGTTGAGTAAGTTTTTATAGACAGTAATACAATTTCCCATCATTCAACATGGCTGTCTGCATTGCTGAACATTACGGAGACGTCGTGTTTGCGCTGGAGTTCTGACTGCAAGAGGAATATGTCTGCCTTCATGTTGGCAGCCGGGGCTGAGAGAGAATATGAAAGAGTTAGAGCAAACAATGTGTTTTTTTTTCTACAAGATGTGAATAAGAGAGAAAGTGTTGGGGGGGGGTTGAGGTCGTCTCCAGCAGCAGCAACACGATCCCAGTCTCACGTTTACAGTTTGTACAGAGAAGAGGTCACTTTCTTCTCGAGCGCTTTTGAAATGGCAGCCTTCTGTTGACGGACTTTTTTTCAAGAAAAAGCTAGTTTAAAATGTACATAATATATTGTAAGCACATATGTGTGTATATTTTTCCTTGTTGTTTTAACTGAGATTCTAGTTTTGTTACTGATGTTTTCCAAGAAAAGAAAAAAACAGCCACAAAAGATTTAAAAAAAAAAAAAAAGTCCCCTGCAAACTGAGGCACTTTGTTAGCGCTCTTTCAGCAGACGGAAGGAAAAGAAAGACTTTTTGATTTGCACTGAAAACTTGAAACAGGGAAAGGGCGGGAAACGCTCGTTTTGATGTTCCAAAAGCTCGACCAGCCACTTAGTTGAATTCACCAGCCAGCCTCGAGCAAAAAGGAGAGGACTTTCTAGATCATGGCTGGGTCACCTTTCAAAAAGAGGCTCAGAGAGCGGACAAATCAAAAGGTTATTTTTCCTTCCCTGGAAGCGGGTCCAGCCGGTGGAGATCCTCGTGTGGAGTCATGGACTGTGAGGCGGACGAAGCCTCTGTGAACCGAAGAGAAGACGGCAATGTGAAAAGTCTCGCCAACCAGCTGCTGCAGGAAGCCGACGACCTGTATCCAGACCCAAGCCTTTTGATTTTTTATTTTTGAACTTTATTGCACTGACTTAGAATACGTTCACATTGAGCAGCATCTTCTTTCTTTCGTTTTTTTTGCCTTCTGTCCACACTTTGTTTTTCATTCTTTTTCAGGTTAATGTCCAGAATTTTAGATTTCCTACATGATCCGAGTTCAACGAATAGTAACAATCAATACCTCTTTGATACAGACAGTTAGTTCCTCTTGTTTTTACCAGCGTGCACACAGTTCTGCTACAGACAAATCACTGCACACATGCCAGGGCATTTCTAATAACATTGACAATAAGTAAAGGCATTATGTACGATTTCTAAAAACCAGTTTGTCCGCTTGTACAAAAAACATTACTGCATCTTAATCATCGCTGGTGACCCACCAGTTGCTGTGAACCTATCAGAAACAACGCTGCTTCCTCTTGTTGGCTTGGTACCTTTGGGTCCAGACTCTGGTTAGGGAGCGTTCTGTCTCCCTAACCAGAACCTAAACCTTTGTTGAATGTTTCAAAACAAAGGACATTGCGTCCTTTTTAGACGCAAGGTGTGGTTAGAGTAATGATGCTCGTCATTGTTTGAGAGTGTTTGGCAGAACATTGAAAAAGACACTCCTCCGTCATATTTACCTGCAGTGCAGACGATCAGCAGCATCTTGGATTTGATGCGCTGCCATTTTTAATAGAAGATGATGTTTGACTTTTTTAATTTTTTTTAAAGATATTTTTGGGGTCCATTTTTGCCTTTATTGGATATGACAGCCGAAGAGTGAAAGGAAATATGTGGAGAGAGAGTAGGGAGAGAGAGTAGGGGGATGACATGCCGCAAAGGGCCGAGGTCGGACTTAAACCCACGGCCGTTGCGAACGAGGACCATGGCCTCTGTACACGGCCTCTGGGCGTGCGGCATAACCACTAGGCTACCGGCGCCCCATGTTTAAACAGTTTTAACAATGGCAAGAAAAAAAAGTCAGACATCCAATCTTCTGCTTTTCCATCCTGGTTCTGTTCACGTTGACATGATTGGATTTTTAGATCAGGCTTTTGTTTTTGTTCTTTTGGTGCTGACAGCGGTGCTCGTGAAAACATCAATATTCAACAAATACTCAAAGAATGAATCTGAGTTTAATACGGGTGATCTAAATCTAAACTGTATGTCTGTTTAGTTATTACACACAGATTGTAGGAGTTTTCTATCGGCCTTTTTTTCCAGCAGTTTTTGACTCATTACCTCTTCTTGTTTACAGTCAGCTCTTCATGTGTGGAAACAAACACTCTGCACGGCTCGGTTAATAATTAGAGTATATTTGGCTTCATGTCAACACGTTAGTCATGATTACAATCTCTTTCATTAGATTTGAAAACACCCCTTTGTCACAATAAGGACCAAAACTGAATTAATATTAATAATATTAATTAATGCACAGTACTTTATCAAGACTTGGAAGCATAATCTGTGCATACTTGACTTAGGGAGCTGCTACATTTGTTTCTGTTGTTTCCGTCATCACAAACCGCAGCAGTGACTTTCGTGTTTCCAAAAGTACAGCTGTTTAGTTGTTGTCTTTCCTCTTCTGCAAACACGAAGGCAAGGTTGGAGAACGGAAAATAAGCGCGGGATTGGCAGATGGTCTTGCATCTGGTTATGATGATTGAAATCAAATATCTTCTGATAGTCATGATTGAACAGTCAGTTACTCACAGTGATTATTTGTGGCAGTACTCATGATCTCTGCACACCTGCATACGTCAGGTGCTTCAGAGGGACGAGGGTAAAACTTAAAGACAATGAGAGAGAGGCTCCCGCACTCTGTCTCCTATGGTGGCCAGGAAGTGCAAACCAAAGTAACAAGATGTGAAACACTTTTAGAAAAGTTGATACACATTTACAAGTGCAAGAATCTTGGCAGAAAGGGAATTTGCCAAATGCCAGAAGTGACCGAGTGAGCCGTCAATTAGTTTGTTTTGGACGTAGAGACTGAGGGAAATGTCTTATACAGAGTATATGTTGACCCAATGATGTTTTTTCCATTTTGGGGGACACACATGAGACGGTTAACACAGTCTTTCCTGTCAAAACAAATTAATTGACGGCACACTCGGGTCACTGGAATCTGCAAAAGTCTGCCGATTGTAAATTTGTGTCTGCGCTCGTACACGTGTGTTGCATCTTGTAAATGTGTCTCAAGCTTTGCAAAAGTTCTCACACTTTGTAAATTTAGTCTGCACTTCCCAGCCACCGTAATCTCGCTTTATGCTGATACAGTTTATCAGAGCATACAACGTTTCAGTCTAACTGATATACTGAATGTACCTGAGTTGTGCGGGAGACTTTCTCATTGTCTTTAAATTCTCATAATCCAAAAACAATGACTCGATCAGCACTTAGCTGCAGCAGCCAGGACACGATGAATAATAATAATCTTGTATTATCGAGCAATAGAAACGGAAACAAAACGAGGACAGAGAAAAACATTTCATGACACTCCTCTGAAGATGTTTGATGTGAGGCCCGTTTAGTTTTTACTAAATGGATAAGTGGAGAAAGTACAAGAGATTTAGAGGTTTGATTTTGGATGCAGATCTAAAAAAAAAAAACCGTTGTGTGGACGCATTTTGTTTTTAAAATGGATTTTAAAAGTTGTACGGCTTCATGTGAACGTAATCTTTCTGTGTCTGTATTTTTGCATTATGTTTAAAGGGGACTTATTTCAGCACATGACTTCACATGCATCTTTCTTTACCTTTTCTATTGTCCAGGATGCTTTGAATCACGGCATTAACGTATTCCAAGAGTACAGTGTGTGTTGAATGTGGCACCGGTGATCTTGTGATTACAGAATGTACCATGTATGTGTTTTTTTGTTTTGTTTTTTACGTTGAATGGTTTCTGGGATGCAGGCAGCTGCTGGATCTCGTATCTTGACCTCTGTGACGTCACGTTAATGGAAACTTGTATTACTGTACCAAGAGCGGCCCATGTTATTGCAGTGTTTTAAAAGGATTAAGTCAAGTTATGGTGAGGCTGTGATGAGCTCACACCCATGATACAATTTGGTTTAAAAAAAAGAAGATTATTTTATGAAGCGTTTCATATCTAAGTTAAAAATGACATTAAAATATTGGCTACCCTTATTCTAGCTTGTGTCTGTGTTCATTTCAATAATGTCAATTTTACTCCTGTTGTAGTAAACATCAAACTAGGAGAATATTATTTAGTTTTTTCCCAAAGCCCTTTAAATACGTATTTTGCGGTTTAGATAAAATATGCCATAATGGCTGCAACATAATCCTTGGGTGAAATGTGCACGACTGTAGTGCGTTCACTAAAAGTTCTTGACTTTGACCGGTTCATACATTTTCCTTAAAGCCCTAACAGCATCGTTTGCTCTGTTTTTTGTTTTGTTTTTTAAACCAGAGGAAGCTGCTAACTTGCTCTCCCTCCATCTCCATCATAATTTAGACTTGAGAAGAAAAAAAAAAAGGACAGCACAAGAGCTCTGGAGAAACTAAGCCTCTAGTGGACACTTGATGAACTGCAGGGTTTTGCACTTCAGCACCAGCTTTTACTGGAGGTTGCCACTTGTTAAAATCAGAATCAGAATCGGGGTTTATTGCCAAGTACATTTACTCATAGGCTACAAGGAATTTGACTTGGTGTATTGAGCAACAACAGGCAGACTTTGTTAGACCTCGACAGAGACCTCATCTTACGATATATTTCCCAAGACTGTCTGCTTTTGACTTTGGTTTCTTTGCCTTTTGTTTACAACACAACATCCATACAGCACATTTCCTCAAATCTAGGCTCACACAACTAACTTTTTACAGATTATTCTTATCTACCTGTTCGTTAGTTTTGATATTTTTTCTTGTTAATAAATTGCTTTATTTATAAGTGTAGGCTACCCAGCCCAGATGAGAGTTAGTCACCTGTTCTTCTCACAGTTTAAAGAGTCCACATTCTGCCCTTTTTGGGGTTCGTATATTTAATCTATGTTCCTACTTTTGTACGTTCACAATAGCTAAAGTCTGAAAAAAGTGTCTGTTTTCATGAACTGCTCCTCCTTGCTCCCTCTACGCTCTGAGTCCGTCAGCTACACTCTGTTGAGCCCACACTGTTAGACCCCACGTGGGCCAAGTCTGCTCTGATTGGTCTGCTGATCCGCTCTGTCGTTATTGATCAGTTGCTCAGCACGCGTCTCGGAAATTTCAACATGAGCTGCGGGGCTTGCACAACGAGCCAATGGGCTTAGATCAGTGATCTCACACTGACAATGATGTCGCACGGACACATTTTTATCGAGGGGGGCTAGAACCGAACGTTACATGCGGCTAATGCTACAGCTAACAGGAGGACGTAGGAGAAGCTGCGTTTCCGCTGACTTTGAATTTTTGCTCATAGATGTGACTAAACATGCACAGGACACATGGAAAACACTTGGAAAACACTAAAGGGCATATAAAACCAGAACATTATTTTGAAGTGTAGTTTTTACAGTGTCACCAAAGTGTCAAAGGTCAAGTGTAAAAGAAGCTCCCTGTCATGATGTCTTCACTTTGACTTCATCTTGAAAACGAGGACACTAAAGTAGTCTTTAAAGTGTGATTATCTGCAGGTGTCATGCTAACATGTTCGCCTTATTGTGAGAATCTTAACCGTCGGTTTTCTGTCAAGTCATTTCATTGAGTTAAAACACTCTTTAGCCAGTTTTATTTGATCTCTGTGTGAGAAACAAATATCAACACGTGTAGTTTAAGATCATATCTTGTTATTATCGGGGTTATGAGAATATATCCTAAATTATTTGATAAACTTGTGTTTTATCAATGTTTTATGATGCTAAAAAATATCGCTAATGCTAATGGATAATCACTAGCTAACACTTTTAACAGACTTATGAAGGCGTGGTAAAGTTTAAGTTTGTATTGTCCTTAATTTGTTAACTTTACAGCCACTCTGGTTAAGTGAGGATAACCAAAGGGAGCTTAATGGTTTTAGTTTAACTGCACTGCTATCCAACATAGTTTCGGTTATTGAAATGTAGGCCTACATAGTAGCCTATCCTAGTTTCATAAGCAGTAATAATTGAATTCATGTTCATGTAAAAACAGTTTATTCAGTGTTGAAGTTTTTATTTTTAAGATTTAATTTTGGGCTCTTTTTTTATGCCTTTATTGAAGAGCTAGTCAGTAGCCTACCTTTGTTTTGTTAGCTAATACCAGACGATTGCAACACACTACGTGATAGTTTCTGACCGAAAATAACATGAAAACAACCTCCACAGAGAGAACTTGCACGATACCATCGGTCTGATTGGTTTAATTACACAAAAAGACGACTGAGCTGCCAATAAATTCAACAGTTGCATCTTAAACTTCCCTTTCGATGCACGTAGCAGCCTTATTGGATCTGAAATCGAGCTACTTTTTTTTTTTCTCTGAGATTCCGAGTCGTAATTACAACTTCAGGGGGCGTTCCAGTTGACACTTCCGACTGGGAACTGGGAATTCCCCACTTACGAGATCAACTGGAACGCAGCATAAGAACACAAACACATTATCACATGCGTCCGGGTGGTACGATTCAGAATACTAGAAACGGAACTCTTTTTTTGTTACTTTGAAATAGGACTCTTTTATTTAATTTTCTTTATTTAATGTTTTTATACACTCACTGAATTTTGTTTAAGTGTTGGAAAGCGTGAAATTTGTCTGTTGTTCAATCAAACTCTCCATTTCACATGTTAGCGTGTCTATTAACGAGGAAGGAGACAGGCTTGCACACTTGCTCAAATGCCACAAAAAGTGCATATTATTCCCATTGTTTGAGTACCAGAGTGCTACCTGTGTTAACTTTAAGAGTTTAGTTTTTATTCGTTATTTGACGTGTAAAAGAGCTGATGTTATATCATGATTGACAGCTATGTTTACGCGTGTGCATCATACTATCGGAGTAGAGGAGGAACAGAAACATGACAAACACTGCCAGAAGAGTCATTGAACTTTTTTTGAACTGTGAGTTACTGCTTCAAACGGACACATAATCTGTTCTGCTGTGGACTGTACCGCCCTGAAGGATCTTTGACGTGTCATCGGTAAGTTAAACGTGCCTTTTGGTAAGTGGAGTGGGCGGGACATCAAAAAACGCGGCCACAACAGACAATCTCTACGGCACAGACACAGGCTTCAAATTATGTTACCAGCACAATTTCAGGACCTGTCGCCGGGATACTTAAGCATCATTTCTCAACAACAGGACGAGGTGCAGGTGTATATTCATACACAGCCAGTGGTGAGTGCAATAAAGATGTTGCTGTTGAGCGTACGCGGAAGTCCTCAGGTGAGAAAACATGTGACAGACATTGTAATGAATACGCCTATCGTAATGTGAGCCATATGTCCGTCAACTGCAGTTTTGAAGACTAAAACTTTGCATGTTGGTCGCCGCCGTGTTGGACTTTTGGAGCCAGGAACAGCAGTATTTAGATCAATGCTGGAGATGAGCTAGGGTTTATTAAATGCCGTAGTTATCAAAGATATAGGGTCTTAGCCCCTTGCTACTTTAGTAGCTGGTAAATTAGCAAGCTATCATAATTTGCCATTGAGATTTTATTTGTGTTACCGATTTTCCCTAGTTTCTTAATTATTAGTTTAACGACGCTAAGAGATCGAACGAAAGTAGCAAGTCATAAAGTGGTCTTTTGTTTTCACTGTATGGTGAATGCAGACATGAAGGACATTTTTCCTGGGGGCTATACTGTCATGAGACTATAGCTAGTGGTATGAATATGACTGTTCTGACATAAGAACTACATCATTTTACTCTATCCAAGATCTTTTTGTGAAGTTTTAGCGCCCAAACCTTACCAATCACATGTTAGGGCTTTCTTCTTCTCCAATTTTGCACTGTTGTGGTTTTTGTGTTGTCAGTAGTTACTATGTAGTAATTTTAAGATGTCTGACAGTTATTTAGCTAGGGATGTTAAGATTCACTGTACTGAGGGCTGTACTTAAATTTTAACCCAAAATCTCTGGGGCTCAGAGTTTGATAGGATTGTAGCACGATATTTAAAACGTTAAAAAAAAAAGTGTTTGGGTCAAGAAGGGGCTGGGGACACTTTGCAACGAGAGCTGGAGGTACAACTTGAATGTCTGTCAACAAGCACGCAAGCTAACGCTAACCTCAAGGGCTGAAACGTAAACTGCAATGATAGGCTAGAAATATACTATAAAAATACACTATGTAGTCCAAGACATTGCAAACTGTAAGCGAAAATATGATTCAAGATTAACTTTATTGTCTCACAAAGTGAGAAATTTGTCTTGGGCTCTTCGCTTGTTCTGCAGCCATGAAGAAACCACAATCTGCATCTTTCACATCAAACATAAAACGATGTCCAGAAAGAAATGAAGTATATAAATAACATCAGGTTCTTAAAATACCAGCGTGACCACACAAAGACTAATTATATTCCATTGCCTGTCTGTCATTCTGCATGATGTCTGCCTCAGAGATCATGACACCATTTCAGAACTCTTCACACCTTTAACTTCCTCAATCAACATCTTCCTGTTCAAGAAGGGGATTTTCTGTCAGTGGCAATTCTCAAGTCTGTCGTCCTTGGCAAAAATCAACTCGGGGGGCCTCCAACCAGCGTTCATCACCATTCCATTATGTCTGCTAGTGTCCCAAAGTTTTCTCCTCTTCCTCTTTTTTTTCCCTCTGTTTCTTTTTTCTCTCCTATAGATGGAGAATTCCTCTTCCTTTTTCTTAGGTGACTTAGTCTTGACTAACTTTGGTTTCACAGCAATAGTGCATGCAACGCTTAGCAGGGCAACAAGAGTGAGTGGTGTCAGATCGGGCCACTTAAGGGAGGTTTCCTACTGTCGTTGCACAGTATGTACATTTTGGTTCCACTGCTTTAGCTTTAAGTTTGTGAGCCCTCAGGGGCCCCCTACTGGTCTGGGACCCCAAGCAGTTGCCTGCAGCGCCTCTGCTTACAGTGTAAAATTCATTCAGTCATTCGTGTTAAATATTATCCTCTAGTGAAAGTTGGTTTGAAACTGGTTTTCAGGTTATTCATTGAGAGCTTGTTCTTTTTGTAATTAAATCCTTACACTTTTTGGTTAAA